ATATATATATATATATATATATATATATATATATCCTAACTAGTACCGTTTTAGAGATAAGACCATGAGCGAGGCTGCCTTAACTATACAATCTTCCAAACTTTTCATAAAATGATCACCTAGATGTTAGAATTTTGATGTTAAGACACCGATGAAAGATATTATGCTCTCATAAAACATTTGCGAATGAAAACGACTAAAATAACAGTGTACATTATTGGTTCGTCCAAAGTATTTTAAAAGCTGACTTACCCCTCTCGGAAAAAGACCGGATGGTCGTGCAAGTGGAATAGTACGTGAAATGGTATTAAGAGATCGAGGAGCAACCCGAATAACCCGAGATGCCACCTTCTGGACTCCACTAAAACCACGTACACGATGGACAATTTCTTTGGTTACCCAAACTGCAATACGTTCCCAACGCCGGAAAGACATCCCCTGTAAAAAAATGGTGTTTACTACCAAGACTGAAAACGTCATTTGGTGAACGATACAATGGCGCAAACAAACCAGCTATCCCCGTAAAAAATTGTATGGTTTAATAGACTTAAGGCAAAAATCCTTCCTTTTAGCCTGTTCATTTTTGACGGAGTAAGTCTTTAAAATTGCTCGTTCCATCTACAACTATAAGTTATTGTTATCTAACGACGTTCAAATATTGTCGTGTGGGTACTTCTGCGCTTATAACTCCATTTTCGATGCACTTCGGGTTTTAGCTTTCCATGCTGCAAATACCCAGCTTAAAATGAGTAAACTGGACGAGTTAATTCAGCCAGGTACCTGCTCAAATGAGTTCTTTAAACTGCTGTTAACTTCATCATATACAGTCGAAAGCCCCCGCTAAAATATCAACGAAGAGCTTTTTGCAGGTTGAGTAAAATGTAAAAACTTAATCTTGACTTTGCTGATTGGTAAATGTTAAATATCAAAGAACAGTTTGTTTTACAGGTATTTACGAAAGATACTTGCAACATTACAGAATCGGAAAGGCATCAACAAAGCCTATGAGTAATGAATCTTCTTATCTTCCTCATCAGTGAGCGGCTCGAGCTAAGTTCTTTCCCCTTCAAATTAGCATCCGATTTACCTGTTAAAACGCTAAGTTTCCGTTGTTTCCATTGATAAAACAGCCAACATCGAAAAATCAGAAGACTTTGTAATGGTCAACTATACAGAAATTTAGCGACACTTATGAGCATATGAAAAAGAATTAAAAAGGTAAACTGTGCATACATATGACGGTTTATTTTTACAAGAAAAAAAAATCAAACTTAAATTTCTGCTGATAATCGAAAAGTCAGAAAAGCAGAAATCAGAAAAAAAAGTTACAGATTCATTTGAATAATGTTGCAGCAAAAAAAAAAAAAAAAAAAAAAAAAAAAAA